AGAAGGTGGTGGTGGCGGCGGTGGCGGTGCTCCAGAAGAACCCGCTAACAATCCTCCGGAACCAGAAAATCGCCTACGGAACTGTAAAAAAACAATAGTTAGTTATTAATACAAAACATAAATATTAAAGAATTGAACAAGAATTGAAAATCAATTACCATTTTGTGTTTTTTTTTGTTGATTTTTTTTTTTGCTCGTTTTTTTTTTTATCGTTTTTTTTTGTTTGCTGTCGGGACGAACGAATATTCGGATTTGTTGAAGATGTCATTTTTAGGAGAATTTTTGGTAAAAGAATAGTATAAGAGTGATTTAGAGAGTGGTTTGGACGACCGGGTGCTTTAAATAGAGAAACTTTCCAACGGATATCCGTTGGAAATCCGTTGAAAAGTTCGTTACCGTTACACTTACCAACGGATATCCGTTGGAATATTTTGAACGTTATAACGTTCGACTATTTCCAACGGATATCCGTCGGAATTATTGCCGCGTTTTATAACGTTCGAATAATTTCAACGGATTGCCGTTGAAATTCCTCAAACGTTATTTCCAACGGAAATCCGTTGGAATATACGTGGAAAATTTCCAACTCAAATATCCGTTGATATGCCGTTGGAAATTTTTTCCAACGGATGCCCGTTGGAAATGAATAATGTAACGGGCATCCGTTGGAATTTATCAGTGGATTCAATGTTTCAACAATTACAACGGGTGTCCGTTGGAAGTTTCCAACGGACACCCGTTGTAATTCTGGTGTCGATTCAATTGCTGCGTTTGGAAATCCGTTAGAAATGCGTTGGAATTATTCCAACGGTATACCGTTGGAAATCCATTGGAAAAATTACAACGGATTAATCCGTTGGAAAAATCCGTTGGAATTTCACATTTTTTTTGTAGTGGTTTCCATATGTAAATGAATTATCTATGAGCTATTTTCTTTGGTCGGCCATAATATTAAGCGACCATGTTTGTTTGGAGGTGGTAATGACGTTCGAAGTTCGAACATCATCGAATTACACCGGAGAAACAGATGTTTCACTGTATAATATTTAATTATACGTTTATTACAAAATATCTAAACCATACTAACCTTTAAAAAATGCATGTTATATATCCTTTTGTACTTTGATACAGTGAATGATATGTGTTCGCATTTACCAAAAAAAAAATTATATGTGTTCGTAAGCGATGATGATTCCATTGTCTTGTAAGTTGCATGGTCCATGCCGTACCTTTTCTTTTTTCTTTTGTCAAATAATACCATGTATACATACTTGCTGCTCGTACTTCTTCTACAATTATATATATATATATCAATTGTATCGTGTGTATATATATATACATGAAATACTGAAGCAAATACCTATGGGATTTATTTATTTGTGGATGGAAAGGTCAGGGAATGATAAACATGGATATGTTTTAATGGACCCTTAAAACATATTATGATTTTGATCCATCTTCTATGGAAAGATGGATATGCATATAAATAAGTATACTATATGCGGGACAATTGACTAAATAATATAATGATGTAAATCTTAATTAATATTAAACTTTTTTAAAAAAACCCTCGAAAATACAGCTAAAAATATATATATATTTTTTTTCATTCTTTAGTTTTTTATTTGAGATATTGCTGTATCCCAATAAAATTATTTTATGGACATGCCACGATTTGCAACTCGTTATTATTATTTAATTTTAATCTGAAATCATCGTTTCAATTGAACTCAAGTTGACCTCAAAATGAGAAGAAGATAAGTTCAAAGGGCAAAGTGTTTTCTATAATGACCCTGCTCTATTATTGATATGCATTTATTCGATTATTCGCACGATTTCTTCGGTTTTTAATTATTAAATATATCATTGTATATTTCATCCTTCTAGAACTTGTTTTTCTTTTTTCCTTAAAAAAGGAGGTAATACCAAGTCTTTTGTGATTTCATCAAATTCATTCATGTTCCGAAACGGGAACATAGAACAAGTGAGATGCTGTGCCTCAAGTGGACTGTTGTTGCTCTAAAAGCATAGAATATTCCCTGTGAATTAAAGTATTTGGCGTTTACTCACGCATCCCTAAATGACAAAGAGAAGAGTCCAAATGCTCTTTTTTTCTTTTAAAATAAACTGTTTTGCTTTTTTTACGTTTCTCTGAAAACCCTTTTGGAATCCGAAGATGTAGAGAAAAAGTACATATTATTAACATTGAAAAAAATACCATTTTATTTAAAAACAAATTAGAAAGTTCTGATAATAATATTCCATTGCAAAAAAAAAAAAGGGGATGGGTATGAGTATTATATATGAAAACTATACAAAAAATGCGAGAGAAGATCGTGTGGTCCAATGACCATATGAGTTCAATCTCTCATCTCAATTGCTTTCCGTTTGAAACTCTCCTAACGTGAATGTGAAAGTATATTTGTATGCACACATACAATACAACATGGAGAAGACTTTGGATCTTGTCCTGTCTTAATTAGTTCGGCGCCAACTTGTTTAATAAAAGTGTATTATTATTAGGGTTTTAATTGGTCAAGAGAGAGAAGTACAAAATCCTTCCAATCATGTTTTGGTTCTAAAGAAAAAAGTTGGGAGTGTTACAAATTTGTACTCCTCCCCCTTCCCTTTTTGTTGTCTGAGAACAAATAATTCAATGTGAAAGTCAAAAACAAAGTAACGGTTGAGCCACAGAAACGTTAGAGAAGAAGGCTGTTAATATACATACATATATATATATATGTATTATGACATAGAGAAACCATTAGACTCGGGTTACTGCTGCTACATGGAACAAGAGAAACGTTTCTTCTGCTACAAAAAAAAGGAGGGGGGGCTTTTGTTTAGATCCGACAATGGAACACAAACGATAAGGACACAAACCATTAACAAATGGTTCAGAAACAAAGGAACCAGAAATATAGAGGTTTATAAGGATGTTTCACCTCTTAGGAGTTCTGACTGGTTGGGTTCTTCAATGCAGAGCAGCTCGTTCGATGAGTTCTTTGTATTCATTGGACACATATGACTTCACCTTCAACCTCGGCTTTTCCCGATTTCCCTTTGCTGCCATCGTCGGGGATTCGTACTTTACGCCAATTACAGTCGCCAAACCTTAAGATCGAACATGAAAAGTAGAGTCCCTGAGTTACTCGGCTTATCAAGATACAATATTGAAAGAGGCATGAATTGAATATTAGTCGTGTGTGAGAGCATTCTTTCAAAATGGGACGAGAAAGAGGTCCTTACTCTCGTGAATGCGTCCATACAAGAATCTTTCGCCTTTCCAGTACTCAAGTGGTCTTGACTTGATCCTCGTACTACGTCTCACACCTGATTCCCATTCAGTACCAGCGGCTACACGAGAGGCAGATCGTCTTTTAGCATATTTCAGCATGTATTAGAAAAAAATACGAATTCAGTGTCTTTGGTAATGTATGTGCACCTGCAAGACTTTTCCTGCGTGAAAACGCCTTACTCTCACGTGATACTGTTTTTCTTCGCTTGTTCTCCTTGTTTTCGTGGGATATTCTTTCAGTTTGCTCAGAGCTTCCACCCTCACCGGATAATGTTTTCATTCGCTTGCTCCCCTCACTCTCATCAGATCCCTTTTTGTTTCGCTTTTTCCCTTTTCTCTCATGGGATATTCTATTTCCTCCCTTAGTCATTAGTTCTTCAGAAGAGTAGCGAACTCCCTGCAGCAAGAAGGAGAAATATTTCTACTGTTCAGAGAACATACACTGGAACCAGATTTTAGAGAACACATCTATGTTTTGTATTACACCACCGAACACACCTGAAACGCCATCCATTAAGGACACAAACATACCAATAGTATCGAACCAGCGAAATAGTCTCTGTGGATCAACTACAGACAAATCCTACTTATCCTTATCCAACCACTAGGGCTATTAAAAAACGATATCAGCACAAGGTTTATCAATCTCTGTTCCTCTCTTCATTTGTATCCTTTTGTGCAGTATGCATTGCCAATGAATTCACACAGATTTTCAAATGTAAATCCAGCACAATACCACAACTAAGATCAAATCGATAACGAACAGAAAATAAGAACATAGTCCTTAACAATAGCAATTAAGACAAAATTCAGATGAGTAAGCCTCGACTAATATCAGTCTAGCAGCATTACCATGCGTGATCAGAATCATGGTCATAGAGGTGAAACACAAAATATGAAGGAATGATAACATAAGAAAATCTGTAGTTAGTAGTAACCTGGACATTTTCTTGAAGCCCATGAGCAAGCCCATCGTTCTCATTTTGGTTCCCATGTTGTTCTTGAAGGTTCTCTACATACTCAGGGGATCCATTCACTGTGCTGTGTTGTTCTTGAGCTCCATTTGGAGATTTGGAGGATTCATCTGTTGGCAAAACAATGGCAAAAAACAAACTGAAAAGCCTAAATTGTTGAGTGAATTGATGCTTTGAAAACTAGAAAAGCGGATTCTTGCTAGCAAGATGCTTTAGCTAACAAGTTTCCCTACTACTAAAATAATTTAACAATGGTGACTGGAGTAAACATCCACAAGCTCAGTCAGGATATTATTCTTTTGCTTGTCTGAATATTTTAGAACCTGGCAATCAGGGAAAAAATATTAACATACCTTGTTGACTTGGAATGAAATCCTTTTCCACAGTGAAATCATCCCTTCTTGTTTCCACTCTAAACGAATCTTCAGCCTGTATAAAAAAAAGATAGAAAAATGTATCAATCAGAGATCATGATCTGTGAATAGTTGGCACAACAAAGTCAAGGAAAAACTTACCAGGCCATCTAATTGATTTGCTTCACCTGCACAAATATCTGGGTCATTTTCACTTCTGGTCAAGTCTCTACATGTCTCGCTTTCACTAATGGGTATGTCCCCATCATTTGCTTCTGATTGTATATCTACATTCAACTTTGATCTGATTGGGTTTCTGTACATGACACTATCATTCATACCATCCCCTAAAGTTCCTTCTGCTGAACTTGAAACAGGTCTACTGAGATCAGTATGAGTATCAGACTCAAGTTCACCAGAAGTCTTCTCCACAGATTTGTTTACTGGGCCAATATCTCCATAGCCCACATTAGATGGGAATACGTTATCAATATCATCACCACTGATGGTTGCTGAAGATCTGGAGTAGATATTTGAACCCTTTGCTGCATCAACCTCACTGGACTGTTGACCGAGAGCTCTGGTGGAAATATCTCCTGGTAGCAAGTGATTGCGATCGGGGAATGAAAACTGATCCTGTAGATTTGATGGTGACATATGTTTTATCTGTGAAGAAAGTGAATCCCCTGGACTTTGTAGGGGCGATGGTGTCTGGGTATTCTTTCGCCCTGTTTCACTGCGTATTCCCTTTAACATATTCCGTATGTCTGACAACACAGTCCTTGGCTTTGATGAGTATCTTTGAGGTGCCATGAAGTTGCTCTTTCGCACATCTTGCAATTCAGGGAGAGACAGTTTCTCAGTATCAATGGGCTTGATCTGCAGGCATTCTTCCAAAAGGTTGACATCCCCCACAAGTTCTGGAGAGCAAGAAAGCAAATCACCCAGGATGCTTTCCACATTCTTCTCAGTCTCAGTTGACGGATCTACACAGAACAAGGGTTAATGCTATAAGAATTTATAAAGGGCCAAAACATATAGCAGAAGGGAAAACGCATATACACATAGCTGAATTAAGGGTCTCATGATTATTATTTTTAGCAAAGGTATCAACCCACCAGTGGACTCTTCATCTACAGTTGTTACATTAGCTGTATTATTCTTTAGCAAGCTTTCGTCACAGGGGCTGACAAGTTCCCCATCTGAAGCTTCAAGGTTGACACCATCCGTTGAATACCTATGGTTATATGAAACTCGTCTCCTCCTAAATTTGACAAATCAGCATCAAAGGGGAAACATCTAGCATTATAAAAATTGGAAAACTCTGAAACGTACAGTATAAATATTTGTTTGTAGTACATACCCTGAAATTCCTGGTCTACGGGGGCGTATTTCTGGTTGGTTCTGGTGTGTATGTGTTAAACTGGTACCAGTCTGTTTCTGCCATTCTCTTTTGGCATCTGTTAAAAGTCATGGTAAAGAACAAAAAGCATATTTGTATATAATTACTATAACAAATAAGGTAATACCCTTGACTTATGGGAGAAAAGTAACTCACTTTCAAACTTTTCATAGGCTGCAAAGAAATCTTCAGGATTGTGATATTTACTATCATCAAAACTTGGTTCATCAACATTTGGATTAGGTTGACTGCCACATCAAAACACAAGAGAATTCAACTAACCGTGTATAGGAATCAGAAATAACAGAATGAAGAAAGAGATTAGGAATCTACTTTGCATATTAGTTGTCTACATTGGTCTTTACCTTGTTGTAGGCTTCAAAGAGAACCGTGCTCTTTTGCGGCCTAAGCCCTGTCTTCTTTCACGTTGGTTTGCAATGGGATTCATTTCAATGCCTTGGCTATCATCTTTAGATACCACATTGACTGGAATTCCTGGATTTAGAAGTTCTGAGCTGCTATCTAAAATGGCCTTTGTCTGCTCCGCAAGCTCACTTTGAAATTTCGAAGGCTGAATATTAAGGAAGAGAATACAACACTGATGGCTTAGTTTGAGAAACTGAACCTGGAATATCAAGAGACTCAAGAAAGAACTGGAAAAAGAAAGACTGAAACTTTCTGCAGTGATTTAGCTCCGATTGTGTCAGTAAAATATGCTTATCAGTTATCACACCGAACAAAGCAGATTGTGGTTTAGTTTTTGGAATCTCCTGTTCTGCCAACAACTAAATGAAGAGAACCAATACATAAGACTTCATAGTAATTCACTAGCGCGCAATTAAATTAGAAGTTATTCACTTGAGCAATCATACACCTCATACACGTTCTAGACAGTCTTCTACCTAATATACATGAACCAAGAAGACCAATATCCATTCAAAATCTACTCTTTTATAAAATTTTCTCGACAGTTAGAAAGAATTTCTCGTTGCAAAGCGATCTTACACCTCTCTTAACTTTAAGATCCCTGAATGCCAAGCGAACGCCAATTTCACCTCACATCTTCTCTCACTTCAAGTGCTCTCTAGACAATCAGATGTAGTAGCAATAAAATAGACACCGAATACACAGACGCGAATGCATACGCACACAAAGGGCATAAATAATGCTCAATCGAGCAGGAAAACGATTTCCCTGGGAATTTTCCCAAATAATATTCCGGGAAATTACCTACTCGAGATCTTCTCCCGCGTTACCTCACTATCCAAATAAACCCTAAAGAAGACCGCCAAATTAAAGCATATTCACGAGAAGAGTAGCAAAACTTTACCATAGATTCCAGAAAACTATGGGTCTGCTGCAGATCGTCGGACTGTTGCAGACGAGGAGGAGGAAGTGGAATCGACAGAGATTTCAGCGTACGAGGAAACAACGACAGACCAGAGTACACCTGTAACGGGTCCTCCAAGCCTGAGCTCTGATTCCAATCTGACATCTGAAACCGCCAGAGATTTCGCCGCCGGAACTCCGATGAAGCCCTCAGACCACCAATGGAAGAGAGGGAGAGATACGAAAGGGTAAAGATTCGAAATGGGAGATGAAGCGGGAATCTGAGACTGTAATGGTGAAAAGAAGAGATCAAGGGAAAATAGTGGGGGGACCAAAAACCTAATAATGACAACAAAAAAAAAAAATTGGCAAATTTGAAAATAATAGAAAAATGAAAAACGAAAAGCGTGAACGGCAGGATTCGAACCTGCGCGGGCAGAGCCCACATGATTTCTAGTCATGCCCGATAACCACTCCGGCACGTCCACCTGTTTATGCGCTATTGCTCTCTTTGACCAATTCACACACTCGGTATTAAAACCGAACCGAACCGAACCGAACCATTGGTTAACCGGGAATGCAAGGCTGATTCGGTTTGGACAAATGAACATCTCCAGAGTCGCTAACTTTTGTTCTTCTCTTCCACTTGAAGCTTTTTTTTGTTCGTAGTAGGGTTGCAGCGGATAGTACGCCACCTCTCTCCTCTCGATCTCGAAGACAATCTCCCTGCTTCATCGTCCTCTTCTCCTTCTTCCTGAGCTCTCTCTGTAGGGCGTCAAAATGGGAGCTTCTCTTCCTCCTAAAGAGGCCAACCTCTTCAAGCTCATCGTCGTATGCTCCTATTCTCTCTCTGCCCCTCTCTTGTTTCATCTCTTAGTACGGACTGTGCGATGCTATCAGGAAGGAATTGGAATTGATGGGTTATGACTGCTTTGCTAACCCTAAGTTTAACTCAACCGTTGCTGCAACGTGTTTGGTCGATGAGAGAGTCATTGAAACTGATAGGAAAAAGGGAACTATGTGGAGTTCTTGTATCTTAATTCGCCTTGGTGTGTTTTCCAAGGACACTGGAAGCGTGAGGCTCTTAGCTTCAGTTTAATTAGGACGGCTTTTGGAATATGAGTGTCGGTTATTGTTAAACCCTAATTCATCTGGCCATTCCTGAGTTTTGATGATCGCTGAGAAATCTTCGCTTTCGGTTCCTCAATTTAGTGTGTATATTTTCTAGTCTTTTCCACTTGACAGTGTTTCTGTAGGATTTTAGACATTGTTTCTTTTGATTCTTTTGTCAATGTTAATCCCATTTAAGCTTTTCGGAAATCACTGCTACTGTCTACAACAACCCTTTACTGGCAGATGTATCGCCAAAGCATAAATGAGCTTATATTTTGGTTGAATCTGCTTTCTCGAGGCACCTAGAATTTTGTGTTTATGCTATGATTTTGGTTGAATCTGCTTTCAGTTGTTCTAGATTGTGCTTATATTTCATGAGATAACTTATAGAGTACCATGATGATTAGTTTTTATTAGATTGGTTCTTATGTTCATCTGTTTTTTTTTCAATATAACAATACATCATCGATAACATACGCCGAAAAAAATTGTTTTGTACAATGCAGAAATCTTATGAGACTAAGCAATACAAGAAAGGGCTGAAGGCAGCAGATGCCATATTAAAGAAGTTTCCCAATCACGGGGGTGAGTTTGCCTTTTACCCTAAGTTCTAAGTTTTCCCTCTACTGTTCTGCACATTATTCAATGTTGAACCTCACAGCTGTTGGAATTTAGAATAACTGCTCTTACATCTATTTGGATTCGCTGTTGTCTGGTTGTAAGTTGAAGTTTCAGCTTCTATTATCGAATAAACAATTTCTTTCTTTTTTCTGTATAAGTTAAACAAATCATCTTATTAGGAAAAATTTTGTTAGTCCAAAATCATATATTTTTTTTGAAGCCAAATACTTGCATGGTGTAATTTATGTTGTTGTTAGAGCTGAGATCTAATTTGTTTAATTTTTGTCTTTGCTTGTGCTAAATGTCATTTTAGGCCATCATTCTTCATCCCTTCTGCTGTGCTTTCCTTTTTTCTTCAAGACTTGTTTTTATTCCTTTTGGATTTTCAGAGACTTTATCCATGAAAGGGTTGACTCTGAACTGTATGGACCGCAAAACTGAAGCATATGAGCTAGTTCGACTTGGTGTGAAGGTCTTCAATTATCAAAATCACATCCTTTATTTTTTTAAATCATGTGAATTATGTAGGGTATCCCAGGACTTGTATTTGTTGTAATGCAGAATGACATCAAAAGCCACGTTTGCTGGCATGTGTTTGGTCTTCTGTATCGGTCAGACAGAGAGTATAGAGAGGCCATCAAATGCTACAGGAATGCTTTAAGAATAGATCCTGATAATATTGAAATACTCAGAGACCTCTCACTCTTGCAGGTAATAATGGGATAAGGAAATCTTTTACTTATCCAATTCTGGTTAGGTATCTCTCTAGATGTATGTAAATAGGATTTAAAATATCTAGCGTTATTGAGCAGAGATAGAGAACCTTCACACATTTTCACCATCCTTTTGTGTAAGCTTTTGCAAATTGTTAAATCTCTGTTTTTTAACAATTACCCAACGAGGATTTGTTGTCCATATTCCTAGGCACAAATGCGGGACTTATCTGGTTTTGTGGAGACAAGGCAGCAGCTTTTGACTTTAAAACCCAATCAGCGCATGAACTGGATTGGCTTTGCAGTCGCCCAGCATTTACACTCAAAGTACACTACGATCCTTGAACATTTAAATTTTGGTACAAAGAAAAATTATTTATTTAATCTGTCGAATGGAAGGTGGAATCTGTTGGCCTTTGGCTATGAGTTGATAGTTGTGCTTCAGTGTTCATATGATTAGCTACTGTAGTCCCAAACTGTTGGGGGTATAGATAGCATATGACTTCTGGGTTTACTCTTATTGGATTTTGAGCAAATTGTATGATATAAGACATTCAGTAGGAAACGTGGTGCAATTGTTATTGTTTTCAACAGATATGAGGTCCTGCATTATACCCAATTTGATCTCCTGATTCGTTTGTTTGGCATACTTAACTTCCTGTTTCTTTAAATCAGTGCTTCAAAAGCTGTTGAAATTTTGGAAGCGTACGAAGGCACCTTGGAGGATGATTATCCTCCTGCGAATGAGCGATGTGAGCACAGCGAAATGCTCCTATACAAGGTTATTTACCGGTCTTTGTTTTGGACTGAAACTGTACAAGTGTGCATATGTTGACTATTTTCTGTATAGGTAGCATCGTTACTTGTAAGGAGTAGCCGAGGTTGTTGTGATTTGTAGTTGCAGTTTATGCTCTAAAGTGACACCTCGGTGTATTATATTTCAATTTATCCTTTCATGACTTATAGCTCTTGGTGAGGAATAAAACATTTATATGTCATTTCTCGCAAATCTTATATTTGTTATGACTTTCTTTCAATTCAACTAAAAATTTTGAAAACGCTTTATCATCCAATCCAAACATTCTCTCTTATTCAAACCTAATGATGGTGTTTGGCTTGTCGCTTATTTTTCGAGTTTCCAGCATCTGACATTGGCAGAAGCCTTGTTAAGACGCTTTTAGTTAAAGCTTCAGTTAGATGCGGGCAAGCTTACGAGGAATTGGTTTGGTTTCAGGTTTCCCTGCTAGAGGAGATTGGTTCCTTTGAGAGAGCTCTCGGAGAGCTGCATAAGAAAGAGCCGGAAATAGTAAGTTATTAGTTCTGATAGTTGAATATAGTTGGATTCATGAGATCCGTGCATATCATAATCATAGACAGAACGTTCCTTTGCTTATATGTTCGTAGGTGGATAAGTTGGCTTACAAAGAACAAGAGGTGTCTCTCTTGATAAAGCTTGGCCGTCTGGAAGAAGCTGATAAACTCTACAGGGTGTTGCTTTCTATGAACCCTGATAATTACAGGTAAATTTTATTTCATTTTTGTTGATGCAGAGCTTTAAGTTGTAATTGCTTTTCCTTGTTTTTGTTTCTACACATTTGTTTGCTCTATTTCATTCTCTTTGCACATTTAAAAAAAACTGTTTCTTCAAATATCTCAAAGGCTGCTATATATTTGTGGTATTATAAGTTTTTATTAGTAAATAACAAGCTCCGTTTGTTCTATACAGATATTACGAAGGACTTCAAAAATGCCTTGGATTGCATTCAGAGAATGGTCAATTTTCATCTGATGAGATTGAGCGGTTAAATGCCTTGTACCAATCTCTTAGCCAGCAATACACTTGGTCATCTGCTGTTAAGGTAACGAAAGCCAGATCAATATCTACTGAAATGTACATTATTAATCATTCTGCTATTCTGTAGAGAATTATTTGTTTATTATTTGGTTCTGGTTAAATGCGTATTTCCTTTGATACATGCTGAGTTTCTAAGATTACCAGGATTTCTTATATTTGTTCCCTTTTTTCAGAGAATACCATTGGATTTTCTGCAACATGAGAAGTTTAAGGAATCTGCAGGAAACTACATTAAGCCTCTTTTGACTAAGGTGTATTTTCTGCCCCTAATCTTTTGGTTTTTGCACTGTTCATATGTGAAGTCCTTATAGACCTTTATGCTTGTCTCAGGGTGTTCCTTCATTGTTTTCTGATCTCTCTTCTCTGTATGATCACCCAGGCAAGGTTAGTTTTCTTACTTTTCCCTCAAGGATTCTGTCATACTGATGTGATGATTTGGTTTGACTGTTTCTTTTTTGTAACACATATTGCACATTTCTCATGTTATCTAGGCTGATAATTTAGAGCACCTGGTTATTGAGATGGAACATTCAATTAGGGCTACTGGAAAATACCCTGGAAGGTATATAGCTCAATTTGTCTCTGAAAGAATAACTTATTTTGCAGTATTGGTGCTATACGATTACGATCTTGTTTTTGGGTTGCTCTTAGTAATGAAAGACCTGAAATGTTCATAAAGTCTGTGATTTGATCAGTCTTTATTTTTCTTTTCTGTTTTTTTATTTACCAATACAGTGATGTGAAAGAGCCCCCCTCAACACTTCTGTGGACTCTTTTTTTCTTGGCTCAGGTAGAAATTTGTTATTATTATCATTTAGTTTTTTCAGAGATTTTGTTTTAGTTTTCTATCATTATAAATAATCTTGCCTTGAAGCTTTGTTTGCGTGTATGGTTATAGCTTTTTTTTTAAATGCAGCATTATGACTGGCGTGGTCAATATGATGTTGCCCTCTCTAAAATTAATGAGGCTATTGAACATACTCCCACAGTTATTGATCTGTACTCAGTTAAGGTATGCTTGCTTGACACAACCAAACCCTTTTATAAGTTTGTTTATCTATTTGTTTCTCAGAATGTGTCTCTATTCCCTCCTATATTCACCCTGTACTCCCTCCGGGAGAACTGTGCTAACTGTATGGCTTCTCTGGATTACTTTTGTTAGTTATGGTGGCTATGTAATTCATTAGCTAAGATGTGCAGATACTGTTGATCAGATTTGTCTTTCCTTGTATGATGATATTCTACTTTCTTTTTTCAACTGCTGTAATGGTTTCTCTTGACTACAGAGCCGGATACTGAAGCATGTGGGAGATTTAACTGCTGCAGCAGCACTCGCCAATGAAGCTAGATGCATGGACCTAGCTGATCGTTACGTGAACAGTGAATGTGTCAAGCGTATGCTTCAAGCAGATCAGGTTCCTAGTTATTCTATTATTATGTACGGTGTTCCTAGTTGTTTTTGTACATGTTGACCTTGGGGCCCTCATTAGTTCTTTTTGGAACTTTTTGGTGAAGGTGACCTTGGCTGAGAAAACTGCTGTGTTGTTTACAAAAGATGGTGATCAGCATAACAATCTTCATGACATGCAGTGCATGTGGTATGGTTCTGCTTATTCCTGACTAGTTCTGTTCGTAAAATAACAATTAAGAAGTGCTTTAGTTGGCCATTTGTTCGTTATTATTTAAAGGTATGAACTTGCGTGCGGAGAAAGCTACTTTCGTCAGGGTGATCTTGGACGGGCTTTAAAGAAATTTTTGGCTGTGGAGAAGCACTACGCCGACATTTCTGAAGATCAATTTGATTTCCACTCCTACTGTTTAAGGAAAATGACATTACGTTCATATATTGACATGCTCAAGTTCCAAGATCGATTGCATGCTTTCCCATATTTCCACAAAGCTGCAGCTGGAGCCATCAGGTGATGTATCTGTTGGATAATTACATTCTAACTATACATGCTTTACTGGATGCGTGCTAGACCTGATGCCTAAATTGTAATCATTTTTTCCTTGTTTGTATCCCCGTTCAGGTGCTACTTGAAACTGTACGATTCTCCCAAGTCAACTGCTGAAGAAGATGAGATGTCAAAGTTGCCTGCTGCTCAGAAGAAGAAAATCAAGAAGCAGAGAAAGGCAGAAGCCCGGGCTAAGAAAGTATGCTGCTTTTTCAAGGATGTAGCAATTGAATGCATGTTCAAGTTACTTAAGATTATCCTTCTATATTTCAGGAAGCTGAGAGTAAGAGCGAAGAATCAACTGCTAGTGCTGTCTCCAAGTCCGGCAAACGTAACGTGAAACCTGTGGACCATGATCCTCACGGGGAGAAATTGCTGCAGGTAGTTTATTTGATTTTGTAATTTATGTGTTATGTCGTTTGAACATTACTACATCATTAGATGCTTATCAAGAAATAAAAACTTTTAGGTTGAAGATCCAATGGCGGAAGCTTCGAAGTACTTGAAATTACTCCAGAAGAACTCGCCTAATTCTCTTGAGACTCACTTACTCTCTTTTGAGGTTAATATGAGAAAGCAAAAATTGTTGCTTGCATTCCAGGTAACTGATTTCTTGTCCACTAGCCCTAAAATCAAGCTAGGATTAGATCTATCATTGCTTGAATCACGTTCTATCTTACATTTTGATCAATTAATTTAAGGGCTTTGCAATTTTTTTTCCTCTTCAGGCTGTAAAACAATTGCTGAAATTGGACGCGGAGAACCCTGATTCACATCGTTGCTTGGTATGTACTTTTTTTGTTGTGTTAGTAACGTTCTTGGGAAGGCCTAATCATGTGAAAGAAAAGAAAGGGACTGTTCTTTTCATCAGCAAGTTTGCTTTGAGATATAAAGTTCTAATGGTCTTTTCTATGTTTTGCGGATTTGGATGACAGATCAAATTCTTCCTAAAGACAGGATCAATGGACACTCCATCCACTGAAGCTGGAAAACTCCTTTGGAGTGTCCTAGAGGCTGAGCGCCCCTCAATCATGTAGCTTCTCAAACTGCACTTCTTATGTCTTTATTTTGTTTTCGTTTTTGCAATTGTGAGAAAAAAGTCTTCTTTTTTTTTGGTATGATAGCCAATTGCAGAATAAAGCATTATTGGAGGCAAACAAAGAATTTCTTGATAGACATAAAGGTAATTGTCAACACTTATTTATGTACCTACCCCATATCGGGGGATTACAATTGCGTACGCATCTGTTAACATCGCTCAATTCAAATACGCAGGATCTTTGATACACAGAGCATCATATGCGGAAATGCTGTATGTTCTAGATCCAAGCAAGAAATCCGAGGCTACAAAATTAATCGAAGACTCACCCAACAATGTGGTCCCAATGTAAATGCTTCTTTTTACGCTATTTTATCTCCATATCGTATTCTGTGGGGTTCTGTTTATTTATTTTGAGATTCTTTTGAGTGCAGAAACGGAGCAGTAGGAACAGTAAGGGAATGGAAACTGAAAGAATGCATCGCAGTTCACAAGCTCCTGGACACTGTTCTTCTTGAACCCGATGCTGCATCCAGTAAGCATCATAGTCTTCACCATTTTGTCTCCATATAATATATGGAAATCTATTGTCGCGGGGAATAATAACCCCGAGGGGGGCCGGTGAACAATTCGCAGGATGGAAATGGCGTTGTGCAGAGCTGTTTCCCTATTCCACGTATTTTGAAGGCAAACTCAGCTCAGCCATTCCAAACTCAGAGTACAATTCGTCGAGTAAGATCACCAAGAATGGTGCAGTGCCAATGGGTCAGACCCAACTCATCGACGGCAAACTCCAAGATGCATTCGAGAACCTCTCCGTCGTCTCATAGACACGAAACGCCTCTTCTTTTTGGCTTACAAGAGAACCTCGAGGGGGAGGGGACCAAACCATCGGAACCAACAAAGATCTATTTATGGAAAGCCATCCGTTTGAGACACAAGATCATTCCCCTCCTTTTTTTGCAGGCTTTTGGATCAGTAGAGCAAAGATGGAGTTTTTAATGTACACAAAGATGATAAAATGTGTATAATTTTTACAAGGGCAGGGCCGAGTTTCATTAACAAAAAAACATTTTTGGAGCTTTGATGTAGTACCTTTTGTTCTCTTTGAATTTGTTTCTCGATTTCATAAGATCACCTTATTATATGTAAGCCTCTTTTAACACCTCTGGAAAAATTTTGGCTCAGGTGATTTGATCCCATTGTGTTTTCTCCATGTTTTGCATAATCCAAGGTCACCCTTGTACAAATAAAACGCAATACTAACTCTTTCTCAAGCCAAGAAAATCAAATAACAATTTCACCTCTCTTATATATATATTCATTTCATTTATATACAAATCAAAGTCTATACACATACAAGACGCACAACTCTGTTTCCTTGCAACAAATCAAAACCCAACGCTGTCTTATTACGCGCCCTTCCCTCCATAAACTGAGGATCATAGTTTGTGGTCTCACCATATCCAACACGTGCTCGAACTGTGTTGTCTTTACCTACACAACACTTGCTCTGCCTCTGTCTATGGAACCATCTCTAGTTTTGAATGTTACGAGTCCCCTTCTCTTGGCTATGAGGATGAAGCACCACCACCACCACTGCTCTCGCCGATTTCACTTTTACAGAGAGGGCAAGTCGCGTTTATTTTCAGCCATTTGTCCACACATTCCACATGGAAGACATGTGTACACGGCAGCTCCCTTAGTTCATCATTGTCTGCATATCTCGCCAAGCATATACAGCAAACCTGCATATAACACGATCAAGAAACCTGAACAAGGCCCAAGTTGAATCGCCATCTTAATCTGTCCCTGCTTACGGATGGATCCACATGACAGATTGTATCAAACCAACCAGAGCAGCCTTGGATAGGATATTTAAATACTCCGTTCACAAAAATGAGATATTGGTTCAAAATGACTAAAGGGTGTTCTGAATTATATAACTTACAGCATCTTCGCCTGATATAAGACATTTCTTCTGGGATCCCGAGAGAAGGAATCCACCCTCACCTTCCCCAGCAAGGTCTTCATCATTTACACTCTTTAATCTGAACTTGTAGACGGGCAATGCATTGATAACCTCGACAGCAGCTCCCCTTGTTTGAGAGAAGTTTTCCCGAAACCCGAGAACAGATATTAAGCAAGGCAAGCAGCAACAAATTGTTGCACATAGTATAAATGGCATTGCATATCCGATGCAACTGAAAGTAAGGAACACAATACATAATCTGCAAGGAAGGCAAATAGAAAAAAGATGTATAAGGGCTTAATTCTCCTTGGGGACACACAGGAGAACATGCTGTCAAACTGCACCTGTACAGTTTAGGGGCATCAGAAGGAGAGGAGTGACCTCCGAAAATCCATACATTCCCCACAACAAACCACACTGCAAAAAAACAATCAAGGGCCATCTTGAAATGGTCCACCAGTCCATTGAGCCTGCAACCAATAAAAGACCATCCGTTTGGTTTCTTAATCATTTGGAGCAATTACTCGCAGAAACTTTCATATTAGGAACAGATCTTCATACCTTGCCCTTAAATTTTCTCCTTGATGGTTTCTTGGTTCTGCTCCAATTCTTGTGTTAGTTTCTTCATCTGGTGTGTGGACCATCGAGACAGCAGCATATGGCGTAGACTCTGTGGAGTTGTTGGTCAGAGAAGATCCACCACGGTGTGAGGAATCTTGATTTGTATGTTCTTGGTTATAATTGCAAAAACGCCAGTAGAGAATGGGGAGAGTTGCAATACAGCCTGAAGTATAGCCAAAAACCCATGTAAATAATGGTGCTTGTGGATGTTCATCCCTTGCCAACGCCAGAACTACTATGGCTGCAACAATCTGACCCACTGTGACAATTAACTCAACCGAAATCCAAAGCCCAGAATTCAAAGGACTCCTGCCGCTTAGACGACCATGCCCATCACCTCCTCTCCTAGATGAACTTACATGTCTCGGATTAAGTCTTTGCTGAGGAGATGACAAAGGTAGATGTGTTGGGTGTTCTATACTACTTGATGATACTCTTTCTTCCCCTTGATGTGAACTCATCTCAGTGGTTTGTTCATCGATAGATGATCTTGACGAAGAGTCCTCATCATTGCTTGTAATATCAATGATATGCTCACGATCGTTATGAGTTTCACGCTCCATTAGCAAAGGATCTTGATCAGCTTGGTTTCTATTTGATCCAACGGAAGAAGCATCCATCTAATTCCACCGAATTTGAAAGCATTAATTTGGAAGGAAAAAAAAAATCAGAGCTTTTGGATTCTCAGCATCTCTTCCCCACTAAGACAAGATTTCAATACCAGCTTTACATCATCTCAGACCACTAAAGCTACGAAATTTCAGTTTCACTCGTAGCAGTAGCTAGACGTATACCTGTTGCTGCACCTACAAACCATGACAAAAACATCAGTACAATAAGCTATGAGGGCGATTTGATATATCCAAATTCTCTCAGAGGACTCAATTCACTTCTAAAAGCGCAGATTGTGATTAAAACCCGAAGGAATAGAATTCACATTCTAGTTTTCTAAGCTGCATAATAGGCAAAGAGATGCACCGGAATGCAGAATTCCAGTTCAAGTTATAATTCTTACAAGACATTTCGAGAAACCAACAAGAACAGATCACATCCACATTAATAGTCGATACCCTCTACCTGTTACAATATAGAACCAAATTTCTGAAAAGCCCTAACTCCGAAAATCTCAATTCAAGTAAGACCCACCAAACAAAACGCGGGTTTGACTGTTCCAAATCGATCAAATTGCGATCTTGATGAAGAAAACAAAACCGGGTCATCTCAATTTTCTACGGAAACACAAACGAACCGTATAATGACACGAAATTTTGGTGAGAGACTATAGAAATCCCCCAAACGAGGTGATACAAAACGCAAGGAGAAAAGAAAATACAGGGGAGGAGAGTAAAAGACAAAGGTGAAACCTTTACCCGATTCGGAAAAGCTTGGCAGAGAATCACGACTCTGAGACAGAAAAGCTGCGGAGCTGCTGTATTCTCTCACTACTGTTCGGATTTACCATAATTTTCTCGAGAAAATATAGCGTCATAATTTTTTTTTCAAGCTTGGGTCTTGCTCTCTGGTAGTAAAATTAAGCCATTTCTAGAGAAACAGATGTTTGTGTTTGTCCTCACATGTAAATTCATGTTTTTGTTTATTATTTTTTATATATTTTTAAAATTAGCAAAACTGATTATTCACAATGCCAATAGCTAATGGATCTGGGCCTCAAACCCTCTCAAAATCGGCCCTTTTGTGTTTGTTAAAACTTCACAAAGATGGATATACAAAATATAAAATTTTATTATAAATAATTCTATATATATATATATATATATATATGATTAGTTGATTATAGCCAGAATCATTGATTGAGACGGTTTGAAGATCACAATCGCTCATGGAATCTCGATCTTCAACTCTTACAAAGTGATATTTCCGGTAGCAGATGCAATCTTGTTCCATTAGGTTTATTAATCTGTCTAATAACAATTATCAAAAGACCAACTTTGGACTATGTATGATTCCACATATAATATAATATAATATCGTGAAAGCTTTTGGGGCCTTTGGCCTTAGACATGTCCTGTCCTCGTGTAACGCGTGTTCGGTTGTCTAGAAACATGATTAACTTAATACCTATACATATATAATATTAATTCCGAAAATTATCATTCCAAATCCGGTTTAACCACATAGATTTGTTCAATCTGTATACTGATCTACCATGAAAAAAATAGAAAAATAATAATATAAAAATTTGAAGAAAATGCAATTGAAATGTATGATAGCAAGACTAATCGGGATCAGGAATTTGGATTTAACAACTTGGTATTGTATATGTCGATCGGTAATTACGAGAGAGGGGAGCCGAGCCGAAGACATAACACACAAACGGACCAATCACATGGAGATATGTTTCGATGTTCATCAGATCCAACGGCTGAGATTAAACAGAACGAGATGAGCAGGAGAATGGTGGCCCTCCGATATGTCGTGCCCACGGATTCGTAATGCTGCCTTACAAACACTTGCGAGGCACAGAATCGACCAAACGGCGACCAGTCCATCCTACGTTGGCTTGTCAATGTCCCCCCTTTTAATTCCATAAATATTCATATCATATGCATATTATATACTAATTAATGCCACTGGTTAAGATCTTGTTGTATCTCTCGAGCCTTTAGGTTCTTAAGCAAATTTTAATTAATCTTGTGTGTATAAAATGGCAGAAATCTTAATGCTTAATGTACTATGTCAACACTCTCTCTATATATAATCGATAATATTATCCATTGGAGACAAACCATTTATTTTATTTTGTATAAAATGATAGAATCATATATGACTTTGTTAGGTATTAGGATTCAAATCAATACGTGGGTTCGGTCTCTTTTATATATAAAATAATTTTGGGACGAGGCAGCATGCATGATACGGACGTTGATTAAGAAATCTCATGTTGCGTATTTTCGACAAGATTATTGTTTGGTCCGACAAGATTAATTAATGTTAAACGTGTTTGTCTGACGCTGCACTGTTTTTGCTCACCGGAAACATATAAAACGCGAGACTCTTCATATCACAATAGCACCAATCCCCAAAGATATAAGATCAAGAGACGATAGTACAGATATATATCAAATACCAAACGTACAAATCAATCATAAAATGGCGAACGAAGCTCTCGGACTCGAGATCACTGAGCTACGACTCGGTCTTCCCGGCTCCGGGAAAAAGAGGATATCGCCAGAAAGTGAAGGGAAAAATGGTCGGGAAGCGAAGAGCCAAGTGGTGGGATGGCCTCCGGTGTGTTCATACAGGAGAAAGAACAGTTTCGAACAAGAGAACCCAAAGTCGACGTACGTGAAAGTGTGTGTGGACGGAGCTCCTTTCCTTAGGAAAATCGATTTGGGAATGTACAAAGGTTATGAAGATCTTGCTGCTGCTCTCGAGGACCTCTTTGGATTCTCCGGCATTGGTACACTTTGTTCTTGCACCTCTCGTCTTGATTTTAATCTTTGATCAAATTAGGCTTATCATGATTAAAACTGCATCTTATGGTACTATATGATGAGAGGCGATCAATTTTTAAATAAGAACCATACAGTATAAAGTTTTATTTTGAAAACAGTACATAGCATAAGAGAGATTGTGAGTATTAATTGCATAAATTGTATATATACAGGAAAGGAAAGAGAGAGACGGGAATACGTACCGATTTACGAAGACAAGGACGGGGACTGGATGCTCGCCGGCGATGTCCCTTGGGAGTATGCCCTCTCTCTCTCTCTAATTACTTCATTAATCCTCCTTGGAATTGTTTAGTTTATTAATTAATTATTTTAAGTTAATCTCACTAGTTGATACGGTCGGTCACGTAGGATTGATCGATGAACAGATAAAAATATTATATTTATTATAGGGAAATAACTTTCAGATTACAAGATTGTGAACGAATTTGAATTGCAGTTGAAATTGATATATATATATATATATATATATATATATATATATATATATATATATATATTTGTTA